TGATGGATCCTTCTCATTAGCAGTTAAACCTACTCACGTCTTAAAATAACATCTTAAAATAATACAACTCCTTCATCTCCACTTCAGCCTCCTGAAAATACCTATCTCTCATCCCCTGCATAGACAGACTTCTCAAAAGAATTGTCTCCCCCGCCTCACCTTGCTTTCGTTCCTCAGAGCACTGTCTCTTCTTGGCTTCTATGAAGATGTATGCCTGACCTCCACTTCCACAAACCATTCATTTACTCTTTTCCACAAATATGTACTGAACACCGGCTATGCACCAAGCACTCAGCTGGGTGCTGTGATTATAATCACAAATGTGAAAGATGAAAGTCATGGTGCCTGCCCTAATGAAGTTCACATTCAAGTGAATGCTGCTGAAGGGCCTGATTTGACAAGGTCTGAAACTAAGTGTTTGCTGGATCTGGCAACATGGAGGTCATTGATGGCCTTGACAAGATATATACTCTAGTTACCAGATTGAGTGGGTTAAAGAGTAAATGGAAAAACAGAAGAGGAAGGAAGGAACACTTCCCAATTCATTTTATGAGGCCAGTATTACCATGGTACTGAAACTAAAGACATCACAAGAAAAGAAAACTATAGACTAATATCTCTTATGAATATACATGCAAAAATCCTCAACAAAATACTAGCAAACAGAATCCAACAACATATAAAAAGAATTGTACACCATGACCAACTGGAACTTATCCCAAGAATGTAAGATTGGTTGAAAATCTGAAAATCAATTAATGTAATACCTATATAAATAGGAGAAAGGACACACAATTATCTCAATAGGTGCAGAAAAACATTTGACAAAACATTACATCCTTTCATGAAAAAAACAAAACTAAACTAAAAACAGAAGAGAATGTCCTCAACCTGATAAAGGCCATCTCTGAAAAACCCACAGCCAGCATACTTAATGGTAGAAGACTAGATGCTTCCCCATAAGATCAGGAATAAGACAGACTATCCACTCTCAACACCTCTATTCAACATTGTACTGGATGTTCTAGCCTGGGCAAGTAGGCAAGAAAATTTAAGTCATCCAGATTGGAAAGGGGGTTGTAAAACTATCTCTATTTGCAGATGACATGATCCTGTATGCATAAAATTTTAAGTAACCCACTAAAAAACTACTACAACAAATAGACTCATTCACAGGATACAAGATCAATATATAAAAATCAATTGTACTTCAATACTGTAGCAAGGAACAATCCAGAAATTAAATTAAGAAAACAAATCAAAAAAGAGACAGACAGAAAACAAATCCATTTATTGTAACATCCAAAAGGATAAAATCCTTCGGAAAAATTTAACGGAAGACATGAAAAACTTCTCTCTAAAAACTACAAAATATTGTTGAAAGAAATTAAAGAAAATTAAATAAATGGAAAGACATTCCATGTTCATGTGATCAGAGGACTTAATATTGCTAAGATGGCACTACTACAGCAATCTTTATCAAAATCCTAGCTGACTCCTTTGCAGAAATTGACAGGCTCATCCTAAAATTCACATGGAAATTCAAAGGACCCAGAAGAGCCAAAATAATCACGAAAAGGAAGAACAAAGTTGGAGGACTTATACTTCTCATTTTCAAAACTTATGCAAAGTGACTGTAATCAAGACAATGTGATACTGTCAAAATGGAATAAAACTGAGAGGCCACACTTATGATTAACTGATTTTTGACAAGGATGCCAAGACAATTCCATGGGGAAACAATAGTCTTTTCAAAAAATGGTGCAGGGAAACTGGATTCCACATTCAAAATAATAAAATTAAACTCCTATCTCTCACCTTATAAAAAAAATTAACTCAAAATAGATTTTTAAAACTTACATGGAAGAGATAAAACTATAAAACCCTTACAAGAATACATAGGGGTAAATCTTCATGATCTTGAAAATGCAATGAATTCTTAGATATGACACCAAAATGCAAGCAACAAAAGAAAAAAATAAATAAGTTGAACTTTATCAAAATCAAAAATTTTTGTGTTTCAAAGGACACAATCAAGAAAGTGAAAAGACAACCCATGGAATGGGGTAAAAAATTTGCAAATCAGATATCTAATAAGGGACCTATATCTAGAATATATAAAGAACTCATAACTCAATAATAAAAAGACAAAAATCCCAATTTAAAAATGGGTAAAGTGTCTGAATAGACATTTCTCCAAAAATAGATTTACAAATGGCCAATAACCACATGAAAAGATGCTCAGTATCATTAGCCATCAGGGAAATTCAAACAAAAACTGCAGTGAGATACCACTTTACATCCCACAGGATGGCTAAAATCAAAGAGACAGACAATAACAAATGCTGACAAGGATATAGAGAAATTGGAACTCTTATCCACTGCTGAAAGGATTGTAAAAGGATACAGCTGCTTTGGAAAACAGTCTGTCAGTTCCTTAAAAGGTCAAACATTGGGTTACCATATGACCCCTAATTCTACTCCTAAGTATATATCCAGGAGAAATGAAAACATATACCTACACAAAAACCTTTACACAAATGCTTATAGCAACGTTATTTATAATAGCCAAAAAATAGAAACAACCCAAATGTCTACCTATTGATGAATGCATAAATAACATGTAGTATACCCAGTAGTATTTAATGGGATATTATTGGACAATGTAAAGAAATGAAGTACTGGTACATGCTACAACATGGATGACCATTGGAAACATTATGCTAAATGAAAGAAGCCAGTCACAAAAAGATCACACACTGTATAATTCCACTTATATGAAATGTTCAGAATAAGCAAATCTATAGAGACAGACACTAGTTTAGTGGTTGCCTTGGGCTGGGGGTAGGGGTGAGGACTGAGGGAAAAATGGTAAGTGACTGCTAATGGGAATTGGGTTCCCACAAAAATGTTCTAAACTTGATTGTGTGATGGTTGCACAATGCTTTGAATATACTAAAAACCATTGAACTATATACTTTAAATGGGTGAGTTATATGGCATGTTAATTATATCTCAGTGAAATTGTTTTTTTTAAAGAGTAAATGAGAGATGAGAAATTGGAGACAGCATACATATAAAAATATGTGATTAATGGGGGTAGAGAAAAGGTAGAGACTGCGATGGGGAGGCCAAGGGAGGGATTTTTTTTGTTTCTTGTTTTTGAAGGATGAGAGCTGCTAGGTCACCTTTGAATGCTTCTGGAAAGGCTCTATCAGAAAGAGGTTGAGGATGCAGGAAAGTGAAACAATTGGTGAAATAAATATGGTCTCTCAGAAGGCAGAAGGAAATAGGGTCCAGATCAAAGATGGACAGACTGACCTTTTATGGATGTAAAGACAACTCCATGGGAGGGAAGAAGGAGAGGATAGTACAGGTCCAAGAAGGTTGATGGATTAAGTGATGGGGAAAATGAGGAGAAACGAGTCCAGTGGCTGTGGACTTTCTCTGAAGAGGGGGAAGAAAGAGTGAGAGGTTTGGACAACAGGAAAGGTGTGAAATGAACACGGTGGCTGCTGGGAGAGCAAGCTTTTTAGGGAAAACCGGTAATGTTTCCAGGAAGTATTGGGGGTGGTTGATAATGAATCCATCGGATGACTTTTCTTGGCAGTGCTCATCTGTTGGGTGCAGGCATGGAGCAGGCAGATGATTGGGTCCCTCTGTTGGAACGTGCTCCATAAAGTCACTAATGGACTCAGTCCTCATCTTACTGAAAGATTCAACAACGTGTAACAAACTGACACCATCTCTTTCCTTGGGCTTCTGGGGCCCACACCTGCTAGTTTTCCTGTTTCCTTTGTGGCCACCACTTCTCAGCTTCCTTTGATAGCATAGTCTCCTCTGCCTAACTGCCTTTAAATTCTGGTGGTAAGCTTGGGAAATAACATGAAAAAGTTGGAACATGGTACCTGCTCTCCTGATACTTAATTTTATCAGGAAAAACAGACAATCAATAAGCAATCCCATAATGCGTCATTTAATCTCAACTGTGATCAGGCCTACCAAGGAGCATGTAAGACATTGGGGATGAACAGCAGAAAGTGCTGATTTGGTTTGGTATCCCTTTTACATGAGATTTACCAACAAAACACTTTTCAGGGAGCAGATATTCAATAACTATTTGCTAAGTGTATGAAAGACCAAAGAGAGAAAAATAGTAACTCTGTAGCCTGGAGTTGCTTCAATAGTATAAGAGTTCTTTTTTTAAAAAGAATTCAACCATTTTTTAAAGTGGCAGGAAAGATACACCTGGGACAATGACAAAGCTGTATACTTAGGGATGACAAAAAAGCCATATTAATAGAGAAGGAGAAATGGCTGCATCTCAGTCATAATCTATAATAAAATCGGTGTTGACATGAATATACTTCAGTTCATTAGAAGAAAGGTGTATTTTGAAAGGGAAAAAAATCACCATCATGCAAAAGATTTTTGGCAATCTTTCTTCAAACAGTAGGAGATGCAAAGATATATAGGATGGGCTTCCCTGGTGGCGCAGTGGTTGAGAGTCTGCCTGCCAATGCAGGGGACACGGGTTTGAGCCCTGGTCTGGGAAGATCCCACATGCCACGGAGCAACTGGGCCCATGAGCCACAACTACTGAGCCTGCGCGTCCGGAGCCTGTGCTCCACAACAAGAGAGGCCGCGATAGTAAGAGGCCCACGCACCGTGATGCAGAGTGGCCCCCGCTCGCCACAACTGGAGAAAGCCCTCGCACAGAAACGAAGACCCAATGCAGCCAAAAATAAAAATAAATAAACAAATAAAAAGATATATAGGACATAGCTGCTTCCTTCAAGGAGCTCAGAATTTAGCGACAGAAGAGATGATATAAAGACAACCAAAGATGCAAAGAAATATAACAATCTGATGGCATCCCTTAGACTAGAATTTTTCAAGAAAAAGTAAACGTACCAGCCTACAATTTTCAGTGGCTTAGAAGCAGAAGTTAGTTATGAATAAGCAAGAGGATTAAGAATAAATACACGCAAATGCCCCGGGCCAGGACGGGACCCTGTGGCAAGGGAGTTCCCGGGGAACAGTCTCCGAGGACAAGATGAGCATGCAGGAGGCCTCCTGGGGAGGAGTCTCAGGATCGATACACACGGAAACGAAGGGAAGAGAGCAGGATTGCACAGGACGGTGATGCAGGGCTGGTGACTCCCGACACTGACCCACAAGGAGTTCTCAGGCTGGATTTGTCCCTAGTTGGGGTGAGAGGAGGGGTCTTATAGCCCTGCACTGACCAGTCATGGTTTGCAGACTGCACTTAGGAAGGGAGAGTGGTATTGGGCAAGGAGCCTCTTCCACCAAGGCAATCCTTGAAGAAGGCTTCATGTTGAGAGGTGTCTGCTGGCAGCTGGGGAAATTAGGCCTTCGGTCCTGAAGGGAGATCAGAAGAACACATCACAGTGCCCAGGCCCAGGGTGGCACATTCATTCCACTTGTTACCATGAAATCTTCAAATTGGATCCATGGAGTGACACGCAGCCCATCTAGAGAAGCAAAGAGAGGACTTGTGTCCGACGGCATAGAAATACAAATTCTTATGTTTTAGTTACAACCAAATTTTAATGACAAATGGATTGCCTTGTTAGAAGAATATGGGCACCTTTTGCAAACATTTGACTGGGGGTTTCCTTTTGATTAAACTTAAGAACTGGCACACATAACACAAAGCCAGGGGAGATCTAACAAAACTGGGAAGTGTAATTTGTAGCCCAGACAGGATCACCTGTAAGCCTCTCATCTTAACTGTTTAATGTATAGAATTCAGGAAGATTTCTGCAAAAGGCTGCCTTTACGTAGCTTAATCCATGTCCTGTTGAAAGGGCAGGACCAACTCTTGGCAAAAATGGGAATGAGATCAACTGAAGTGTCCTCCGAACCTTTTCTTATCATGGCATGGCTTATCATGGAGGTAATTAGGACTTATTATCAAATCTTTACCCAAGGCAGTAGATGAGAGGTAGGTACCCTATACCCAGATCTCTCCTTTTGACATCCATCTCCTATCTCCCCTTCTGACATCCTTCTATCTTCTAGTAGCCAAAGGCTACTCATACCTGCTCTCCTTGGGAAGTGCTTCAAATGATTTCTTTCAAACCAGGGTTTCCCAGTGTTTGCTTTGTGAACCATTTGCATTAGAATCAGTAATACGTTAGAAAGTCAGCTTTCTGAATCCCACCCCGACCTTCCAATTCAAAATCTCTGAGACTGAGAACCCAGGAACCTGTGGTTTTTTTAAGAAGCTGGCTAAGTGATTTTTGTGCACACTGAAATTGTAAACACTCCTCTTTCATGGCCTCAGCTCTCACACGGGATGAACAGGGCTAAACTGATGTCCGATAATGCTTAGTGTGTTGTCCATCTCATGGATGGCATAGCTTTTTAACTGAAGATGGTCTCTAAGGGTTCAAACTCAATGGGGAAATTTCAGCCACCAGGGCAAGATGATTACTGAAGACGTCCTCCTCCCTTTCTCTTCCTCTTCCTACGGTTTTCCTTGGTGATAGACTTGTCTTCTTGGTGATAGATCCTCCTTCAATCTTGGATCCTTCTATAAATACACGTGTCAGTCAGGAAACTCTGTAGACGACCTTAGATTTACATAATAACTTCTCCTTAACTAACTCCGTTCTGGGGAAGGCACATTGCAACCAGATATGAAAACAAACTTTCCACATTCCCAAGGGAGCCATCTAACTAAGTATTGTGGGGAAAAGAAAACAAACCAAAAAGATTTCATTGTCAAATAAGTTTGAAGTATACTGAATTAAAATGAAGCTGTTTCTTTATTAGAGAACTTCTCAGAGGCTTTAATATGCTGCTGTATATTATGAATTCCCTGGAGGAGGCTACGTATGCACTGTCCCAGCTTTTCCTGGAGAGCTCTTGAAGCTGTCATACTCTGTGGATTGCACTTTGGGAAAAGTTGTTCTAGATTTTAGCAGATTGTCTGGTCATCAGTTACACTCATGCTGTAGCGTGGTTCCCATTGTCTGAAATTCTTCGGCTGAGTTTGACTTCAGGTAATTTTTATGGCTGCTTAGGTTCACCTTAGGGTTTGATTTAAAGCACCCAAAGTAGGTCTTCATTTTCTGTTATTTCAATAAACTTCAGATTTCAGAGCCACGTCTCATGTTTTATTAAATTTACTTTTAAGCAAACCACACAATCCTTGGCCAATGTTTTGCAAGTGGATTTTGCTTCTCCTCCTTTTGACTGAAAGAACTTTCTTAAACTAAATATCAGTGTTCCTGTTCTCAATGTGTATTTGAAAACTTCTGTTCATTTTAGAGTCATGTTTCTACTGTATCCCTTTTATTCCATCTAGCATTTTGGTATTGGCAGGGAAAAGCTTTTTGAAACGATATTTGCATCTATCTCAGATAAATACTTCCGTTCACACAGCTTTCAGTATAAAGTTCTGACTTTAAAGAATTCAGATGTTATTTTCACAAATATCTATACTCCAATTATATTTCCTTCTCTTAAAAATAGCGAATGTCATTTTCCCAGAAAGGATCAGAGCTTCTTTATTGATAATTTCTTGAACTTCCTTTCAATCTTGAACAGGGTTTACCATAAAGTGTTTACAGGAAAACAATGCAGATTTCATCATAAAGACCTAATCAAGAATAGATAAGGGCTCTGAAGAAGTTTTAGGAGTTGCAATCATGCCATTCAAATTCATCTTAGAAATATATCGCCATATAAATAAAATAAGATTATAACGTTTTAATGGATTTTGTTTTCAGCATCTACAGAGGTGGGTTGTGACGCTGTCTGGGAGAAGGATCTCAATTCACACATTTGCTACCAATTCAACCTGCTTTCCTCCCTCTCCTGGAGCGAGGCACACTCTTCATGCCAGATGCAAGGAGGTGCTTTATTAAGTATTGCAGATGAGACTGAAGAAAATTTCATAAGGAGTAAGTAGGTGGATGATGCACATTGATGTCGGTACAATTAAAATGATCGGTGTTTACAGTTATGTCCATGTATGCCAAGATGCCTTCTGGAAAGAAAAGGTCCCTTGGAAAATATTTTTCTGTTATTAACATGGCCCAAACTCACACCCAGAATTTTGACCTGAACCCTGGGCCATTCCATTTGACACCTGGCCGTGCCTCTCTTATTTTCTCCCCCCCGGAAAAGAGAAGTTGAGGCTACAGCAAGGGACCCAGGAGAATTTTCAGCTCCAACAAGTGCATAGGGAGACTTCTAAACTTAAGTCCGAATTCCTGCTTTGCTGGGGAGCTTAGCCATTCCGTTTCCATTTATAAATAATTAAGCTGTTTACTAATTAAGCAGAATCTTACCTGTCAGTCACTGTGTATAGTAGGGTTTCCAGTGGATGCCAAAGAACTTAAAATTTAATTGGAAAAGCAAAAGCACACACATGTTAACTAATGCTGTAAGGTAATAACATAAACTGTCAAAAGACTGCTGAGGAGCTGGGTCTGATCTGTTTCACCTCTCACCTAAACTCTCTTTTTACTTCTCTTTTATAGATTAAATGTGTTTGTAGATGTGTACATGCAGCATTTAAAAATCTTTCTGAAACATTTGAAAGTGTCACAAAACTAGTCACTTTCATTAAAAGTTTCTGATGCTTTTTTTCCAAATTATATTACACATGTTTCTTCTAGAATAACAATAATAAAATTATTCTAGGATAATTTTAAAAGTTCAAGTATACAGAAAGAAAACCAAAGGAAAAACTCTCATAGTTCCACAATCCAGAGATAACCATGTTTCTTCTGCAAAAAACCCCCATACAAATGCATGCATAATCCATAGTATCTATGAAAAATGATATTGAATAAAAAGATGAGGTGGTTGTTGCACAGAGGTTAGGAACAGGGGCCAAAGAGCCACCTGCATGGGTTTGAATCCCACCTCCATCACTTACTAGCAGTGCTAAAGAAGTAACTTAACCTCTCTGTGCCTCAACTTCCCCCCCTCTATCAAATGGAAATAATAACAATACCTACTTTTTGGTGGTGAAAATTACATATTATAGAACAGGTGAAAATTTAGAAAAGTGCCTGGCACACAAATCAAACACTCAGTATGTGTTAAACCTTTAACAGCAACTACGCGCACAGTTTAGTAACATGCTTATATAATTTACCTGCATAGAATGAACATCTGTCCGTGTCTATAAATATAGATCTATATCATAGCTTTTAATGGTTACATAGCGATACAGGTTAGAGATAATATATTTAGTTAATCTCCAAATATTAGATAGGGATAGGTAGATAAAATTCTTTATTTTGTTTTTATTTACTTATTTGTTGCTATGTAAAACCACCCCTCACATACCTTTGTGCATAGATCCCTGATTATTTCTCTCTAAGTTTGTAGAAGTGGATTGACTGGGTAGAAGAGGAAGCATATTTTAAGGCTTTTGAAAGTCATTAATAACTTCTAGAAGGATTGTAACAAATGCATGAACAGTATATGTCTGCCCCTTTCCCCACAGACTTGCAAAAGTGGGAAATTATCACTGAAACTGATCTGAGTGAGTCATATTGCAGGAAAACACCCATTTCCAAAATCATTATTAGCCTGTAATGGTATTTATAGAAAATTTTGTGCACAATTTATGAATTAAAATTGTTATCTATTTTGACTGCTGGGATCTTTAATAAGAGGGTTTGGACTTAATCAGACTTGAATAAAGATTAAAGGAATAAGATATGTCAGAGACTTTGATTTAAATACCACAATTTTATAATTAGATTTTGGGGATTGTTTAGATTGGGAAAACAGAAGAGTATTCATAAAGACAGAAGCTTGTTCTGACCAAGGTATTTTTTAATGTTGAAAATAGTCTACTGTTTCTTGTTAATCGCTGATGAACATTAACTATGGTATAAGGAATTATCTAAACTGCCACAAATGCCAGGAAATAGCCAAAGGAATTTCAGTTTGCATTTATTAGTATAGAATTGTGAGCCAATTTACTTGTAAAGCTAAATAGACTATTTTTGTACTTTTAAACACAGATTAGAAATTATACAATGATTTTTTAATATGTACTGTTAAAACAGTCACACAGAGGGTATTCAAAATAACTCTAAGGTAAGAATAATTAATACTTAAATATTTTAAGTAGATTACTTGAAAGCAGCACTTGGCACTTACCCCGATATGAAATGTGGAAATTTCTCTGTCTTGTCAATCCATCTTCCATTCTGCCTTCTGTCATGATGACACCAGTTAGATGATTTAATCAAATGGTGCTATTGGAAGGACTAACCAAATAGACATTAGAAAGAGACTTGTGTTTATGCCCCAGAAACTTGGAAAGGCAGAGCCCATGAATGCTGTTCCCGTCCAGTGATTTCAGGGATCTCAAAATTATAAAGCACCTTTTTCTCTTTCCTTAAAGGTTTAGCTTCTTCCAGTTTTCCACTGTTGTTTCAAAATACCCAATCACAGAAGGTGCTGCAGCCTTGTGATGTGAATGCACTAATCTTTACAACCTTGGTGACCATACAATCGATCATCCAGACTGAGACCCTTTGAAGAGTAAAAGGTTCTGCCATCAATACTTACTCTGGAACTACCAGGATAAGCCATGAATTTTCCAGGCAAACTGGAACATACAGTCACCCTATTTATCACTCTTATCTGTCAGGGTCTCAGTCTCAGGCAGGGCCCCTGCATCTGGCTCAGAATAAATTGGGTTCTGAAGCAGATGAATCATAAGGGATCAATGCTGTCCTTTATAGATTAGAAGATTCAATGGCAACATTTGAAAGTGTCACAAAATTACTTTCACTAAAGTCTCTGACACTGTTTTTTCCCCAAATATTACAGCACGCGTGGTACGTGTTTGTTGTAGAGTAATTTTTTAAAGTTCAGGTGCACAAAAAGGAAAACCAAAGAAAAATTTCCCCTAATTCTACAATTTTGAGAAGAATATTTTTCTACACAAGCATGTCAAGGCACATGTTTCTACATAGCACTGATAACAAAATTGGAATTGAATTAAAACAGGAGGAGCCGAGGCACAATGGTTAGGAGAAGAGGCCTACAGAAAACTTTCTCCCACACCAAGCTGAAGAAGCATTTGCACTGCTCATGGCCCCAACCTGCTATTTTTTTTTTTTAACATCTTCATTGGAGTATAATTGCTTTACAATGGTGTGTTAGTTTCTGCTTTATAACAAAGTGAATCAGCTATACATATACATATATCCCCATATCTCCTCCCTCTTGCGTCTCCCTCCCTCCCACCCTCCCTATCCCACCCCTCTAGGGGGTCACAGAGCACCAAGCTGATCTCCCTGTGCTATGTGGCTGCTTCCCACTAGCTATCTATTTTACATTTGGTAGTGTATATATGTCCGTGCCACTCTCTCACTTTGTCGCAGCTTACCCTTCCCCCTCCCCATATCCTCAAGTCCATTCTCTAGTAGGTCTGTGTCTTTATTCCCATCCTGCCCCTAGATTCTTCATGACCATTTTTTTTTTTTTTTTAGATTCCATATATATGTGTTAGCATACAGTATTTGTTTTTCTCTTCCTGACTTAACTTCACTCTGTATGACAGACTCTAGGTCCATCCACCTCACTACAAATAACTCAATTTCGTTTCTTTTTATGGCTGAGTAATATTCCATTGTATATATGTGCCACATCTTCTTTATCCATTCATCTGTCGATGGACACTTAGGTTGCTTCCATGTCTGGGCTATTGTAAATAGAGCTGCAGTGAACATTTTGGGACATGACTCTTTTTGAATTATGGTTTTCTCAGGGTATATGCCCAGTAGTGGGATTGCTGGGTCATATGGTAGTTCTATTTTTAGTTTTTTAAGGAACCTCCACACTGTTCTCCATAGTGGCTGTATCAATTTACATTCCCACCAACAGTGCAAGAGGGTTCCCTTTTCTCCACACCCTCTCCAGCATTCATTGTTTGTAAATTTTTTGATCATGGCCATTCTGACTGGTGTGAGATGATATCTCATTGTAGTTTTGATTTGCATTTCTCTAATGGTTAATGATGTTGAGCATTCTTTCATGTATTTGTTGGTACTCTGTATATCTTCTTTGGAGAAATGTCTATTTAGGTCTTCTGCCCATTTTTGGATTGGCCAACCTGCTATTGATCCCTCTACATACTCTGGTCCCGTGGATTCTGCTCTCCTCTTGGCCAGACAACCCCCATTGGCTCTCGACTGGACAGCCCTTCCCCCATTTCTTTAGCATACCTTAAATTTGAGGGCTTGCCTCCCGGCACTAACAACACTTAATATGCCTTCTGCTTCCTAGCCAGACCCCTAAGGAAAAGGTCCTCTAAGTTGTTCAATTTTTTTAACTGTGAAATATTTCAAGAGTATTGACAAGTGTAAACATTACATCTCTGCACACACATACCCATTATAGAGATTTAATAGCATTTCTTCCTATTCCTCTTTCTCAGGGCCTGAGGTAGCCTGAGCTCAGTGTACTTGAGTCCTGAGCCTCCAGATTGAGGCCACCAGACACATGTGGCAAAAAAATAGGAAGACAGAGGGGCACTTTGTAGGACTGGCCCTGGGCACTTCCTCCTTCCCCCTCTAAAACCCTCAAGTGGGTAAGCTCACACGGGTCAGATGGTCTCAGATTTGTAACCATGAACTGTTGATGGATTGACGACCGTTGAGAGGCAGCATTCCTGTATGCTTAGATTAAACACTGCACAGTTGCTGTCAGTGAGCCTTTAGGAGACTGCCATGTTTCTCAGGCTGGCTTTTTTTACTCTGAAGCACCAGGGTGGGGTTTAGTAGCACTTAAACTCTTTTCTGCCATTGATGGAGTTAATTTATGACTCCATGCCCCAGGAACAGGAAAACAAGAAAGACGTGTAACATTGATATTTTTTTTGAAACTCCGTATTTCTCTTATTTCAGAGCACTTTGGCAATGAAGCAGTGGAAGTATGGATAGGTCTGAATCAGCTAGATGAAAATGCTGGTTGGCAGTGGTCGGATAGAACACCACTCAACTATCTGAACTGGAACCCAGGTACCTGCAGCGTTTTGTTTACCTTCAACAGGTGGCATCGTCCCATAGCCTAAAATAGCAATATTTCCCACATATGTATACGACGTGTTATTGTGAAAGTGGCTTATAAACATTTTTAAAGCCTGATTGAATTTCTATAAGGCATGCTTTTCCAAACGAGAAAATGGAGGCCAAGAAGTAAGCCAAGGGTGCATGAGGATTTGGGTCAAAACCAAGATTCTAGTCAGTTGTTTTAAAAATAGCAACAGAGATAAGAAATTAAATCTCAGAAGTAGATGTTTATGTACAGATTGTTTTCGTGTATTTTTTCCCACTCTCTCCTAGTCAATTTCCTCTCTCTTCAGTTAACCTTTGCCCTCCAAAGATATGATCAATTACTGTCTTACATCAGTATGTCTTGCACAAAAAAAGGAAAATTGGTTTTTCTTATGGATTCTAAGTCAATTACATTAACTGTGTAATACAACGCACTCACATTCTGTTTAAATGTGTTGTTTAAAAGATTGTTATAGTTGAACCTTGAATAACTAGAAAATATAATAAAGTACGATTGCACTTTGTGAAAAAAAAATAGCAACAGATTGAAAAATATCTCTCTACCTTAAAACAATAAAATCAGCTGTTGCTATCTTTGGGAAATCATTTCATTGTCATGCCTGGACTTCAACTGCAAAATCATAAATATAATATCTTATAGGATTTACTACATATGCCAAAGAGAAGGGCTGTCTCCTTGATGCTAAAACTACATTTCAGTATATATTGAACTAACTGCTTTTGCTTCTAACATTAAGTACACACATATTGTATTTTCAGAAATAAATTTTGAGCCATTTGTTGAATATCACTGTGGAACTTTTAATGCATTTATGCCAAATGCCTGGAGAAGTCGGGATTGTGAGTCCACTTTGCCTTACATATGTAAAAAATATCTAAACCATACTGATCACGAAGTAGTTGGTGAGTGTTTTTATTTTAAGCTGTTTTTATAAGTAAGTTGCTTACTTGCCCTCTCAATATATTCAAAGTCCTTTACTTTTTGCTAATAATTTATAATTTAAACTTAGCTAAGGCTAGTTTTTATATGAATAAAAATGTGTAACAAGATAAGATCTGTTATTCCAAAGGTACCATGAATTTAATAAATGCATTTAGGTTTTTACTAAAAACTAAAGCAAAATAATCTAAGTATAGAAAACATTTTCTCCCTCTCTTTTTAAAAACTTTGCTTTCTTATTCATTCTGCCTTAGAAAAACAAGATATGCTTCATTTTCTATTCTAGTTGAGTTTTATTTATTTACGGTTACCCTAGAAATTAAACATATGAATTAGAAAATAGTTTTATAAAATTATTTACTTCATTGATCTCCTATCATACTCTATATCTCTTGTTAGTAATACTTCCTCCTTGAAATAACAAACAAAATTTTAGGTGTACCTAAGACTTAAATGCCACATAATTACAATCTAGTACCTGAAGCTCAGTTATTTCTATTCTTAAGATCTATTACTTCTTCTTAGTTTCTATGGAATTAATGTCTGAACTCAGGAAGTAGAGATAAAAACATAACCATTTTTAAAGAATCATTACCAGCATAATTAGAAACAACTCTACATTTAAAACAATAATCTGAATTATCTTTCTAAAATATTATCCCTTACAGTTAAGCTTTTATATTTTATTTTATTTTTTTATAGATTTATTTATTTTTTTGGCTGCGTTGGGTCTTCGTTGCTGTGTGCGGGGTTTCTCAAGTTGCAGCGAGCAGGGGTTACTCTTCATCGACGTAGGCAGGCTTCTCATTGCGGTGGCTTCTCTAGTTGTGGAGCACAGGCACGCGGGCTTCAGTAGTTGTGGCCTGCGGGCTCTAGAGCACAGGCTCAGTAGTTGTGGCTCACGGGCTTAGTTGCTCCGCGGCATGTGGGATTTTCCGGGACCAGGGATTGAACCCATATCCCTTGCATTGGTAGGCAGATTCTTAACCACTGCACCACCAGGGAAGTCCCCAATTAAGCTTTTTAATTTACGATATTATGTTATGTTAATTTACAATATTGTGTTAGTTTCAGGTGTACAGCAAAGTGATTTAGTTGTGTGTGTGTGTGTATATATATATATATATATATATATATATATATATTCTTTTTCAGCTTCTTTTCCATTATAGGTTATGACAAGATACTGAATATAGTTCCCTGTGCTATACAGTAGGTCCTTGCTGTTTATCTATTTTAC